CCCCGCCCCAGTGCCCAAGTGCTGAGTGGACCTGGTTGGGAACAACTCCTGGAACCCCCCCCCAGTGCCTGAGGGCTGAGCAGAGCTGCTCATTTCCACTGATTGAAGCTGCTTCCCTGGCTCCAGCTGCTGCTGCCGTGTTTGGCCCCAACGTGGTCCTGCAGGCTTGCTGCTGGTTGCGCAGCTGGAGAGGCTCGATCCAGGACATGCCCCACCCGTCCCTCCTTTCAGCTCCTTCAGTGACATGGGATGGCCAAGAGCCCCCAGTGCTGCCCCAACACGACCTCGGTGCTGCTCTTTTAGTGTCAGGTAGCACCTACTGCCATTGCGGGTATTTTGTTATTTTTTATTCTACTGTCTAGTGCCACCACTTCTCGCTGCTCTCGCAGCTCTTCCATGTGGAACCCTTGGTGTGGCTCTTTTCTTGTATTTTATTCTATTTTCTATGTTTAATTCTGTTCACACCTGCCACCTGCCTCGGTGCTGCCCTTCCTGCCACTCATGACAGCACCTGTCCTGTAGTGCGGCTCTTCAATGACATCGGTCGCCAGGAGCCCCCAGTGGAGTTTTTTTATTCTATTTTACTCCATTCTCTGTATTTTGTGCTATTCAACCCCCACCCAGGGAGGCAAATATTTAGTTTTAGATAAGCAGTGTTAAAATGAGAGGTGTGGCTTTAACGCTGGGAAAAATAAATTCCACCCTCTGCCTCGGAGAATGTGCCCTGTAAGCCTGGGAGGAGTTGCCTCACACGCAGACCCTTCATGGGATGGCAGCCCAGGGTGTTCTGATTGGGGTTGAGCCCCTGAGGTTTCTCCCTTGCTATGTCCCTATTAGTCCCCAACCCTAAACTCCACACTGGCTCTGTTCTGGGTTCTCTGTCTCTGGATTTAATCTGAGTTTGTTACTGTGTTGAATAAATGGTTTCCTGAGCTTAACCAAGCAGAAACCCATCTCATTGTCATGTCAGTCACCAGAATCCATATAACCTCTCTGGACTCGATCCTGCAGCTGCAGAATGCAGAACAACCCCACCCATTGTTCAGTGCAGCTCATTCAGATGTGGATGAGGGAGACGCCCTTAGTGTGGCTCTTTGATTGCATTTTAGTCTCTTTTCTGCATTTTAGTCTCTCCTCTCATTCCACCTCATCCGTCTGGTAGAGTAACTCCAGGACAAACTGGTGGTGCCACTGACAGGGCTGGAGCGTGACTGCCACACAACTGCCACACGCCTCAGAGCCGGACCAAGGGTGACCAAGAGATGGGGAGGGACTCTCACTGGACAGAGCAGGGACTGACCCCATGGAAGGGACCCCACACCTTGGAGCTGGGCAAGGATTCCTGTCCCTGAGGGGGAAGCAGCGGCACGAACTGACCATAACTCCCATCCCTTCTCCCCCACTGCTGGGCAGAGGAGGGATGGAACTGGGAGTCGTGTTGAACTTTTATATTCATCGTTACAAAGCAGGGTCACAAGTGGAGCTCTGCCTTCAGCTTCAAACAAGGGAATCTAGTGTGGGTGCTGGGACTTCCGTAACCTCAAGATGTTACTTGATACTCTACACTTTTAGTTTTTGCAGTGTGAAGCCCTTCATCAACAATCCCACCCACTGGTTTCTGGTTTGAAACCAGCTCAGAACTTGGAGAAGAAACTGAAAGTCCCAGGAGAAGTAGCTCTGCCATTATTTTAATTTATTCATTTTTATTTTTCATTTTAGATATCATACATATTTTAATTTTTTTTCCTTTTTCTATAATTCCATGTTTATTCTCTACTCCCCCCCTAGCCTTTGTTCCCCTCCTGGAGGTTTGTGGGGAGGTTCTGTCCCACAGCCCTTCCTGCTCTGTCAGCTGTGACCACTCCGGTGCTGTTAGGCCCTGGCTTGAAGGGAAACCACAAAACCCTCTGTAAATAAAGTTGGTCTGGGGGAAAACCCTGCAGGGGGGATTGAAACCCATGGACAGTGATGGCTGAGTTGGAGATTCCAAATGCTCCGAGGGGCTGTAGGGAACCATGCTGGGGCTTCAAGGCCTCCCTGGGAGCACCTCCAAGACCCCTGAGCAATGAACCCTCCCACCCCCTAAAATCCACAGGTTTGGATCACCTGAGGAAAAGAGCTGGAAAAAGAGACTGGAAAGGGGATTGAGCCCAAGGGGACCTCTCAGCCATCACCTGGAAAAGAAGGGCTTTCTGCAGGAAAGCCACAGGAAAATCCTCCAGAAACCAAGAAAATAATGATGAATTTTTTAACTCTTTCCACTCCTGTTTTCAGAAGGTCCTGGCCAGATCCTGCTGGGAGGAGCTGGGGGCAGTGGTTTGCAGAATTAGGACTTTGCAACTGAAGCAGTTTTATTTCCATTAGCTGACAGCATCAGGGATGCATGGGGGATCATCCATCATACATGCATACCTGGTCAAGACAGGTTTGGTATAAATATACATTGATCCCACAAACCCACACCTTCCTGGCCACCCATTCACTCACCCCTTCTCTCACTTTGTATTATAATTACTGCCACGCCTCCTAGTGGTCATGGGCTGGGGTCTTGGGAGGAAGGCCAGAAGTCTGCCTCAGTGTTCGCTGTTTGACCTTCACTTCTGGGCAAGCACAGTGGAGGTTTCGCTCTCTCCCAGGTCAGCTTGCCTGGACCAAAACCATGAGTCTGGTCCTGGCTGGTTTCTGGAGCCATGGGTTCTTCTTTGTTGGGTTTTCACAATACCTAAGTCTTGCTTTGCTGAGTTTTCACATAATTATATATAGTTCACATTAATATATCTTAATGGTTTTTACCATTTGCTTTTAGATGGTTTTAAAAATCTAAATTATTGTAAATTCCTATGTGTTTTATTGCTAATTGTTTCTGCTGTGTTCTATTTCCCTATCACTTGTTTAAGCACATTATAGGATTCTAAAATTCTGAATTTTCATAGCCATGTATGTTCCCCATCTCAGTGGGGAGTGGGCTCAAAACCTAATTGGGAAGAAAAGTTTAATGGGAGCAAGGAAATTTTATTTTTGGGGAGAAAATGTGAATGGAGGGGATTTGAATGGAAGGGGATGATGTGAACTGGAGAGAGAAAATGAAGTGGGGGAGGAGCCCTCAGCCACTGCCTGTGCCCCAAAGACGCTGCCAGCGTTTCACCTGCTCTGACCCCACCTGCACTCCCCCCTCGCCTCAGCACGCCTGAGGGGAGTTGGAGAATGGATGGAGGAGGGATGAGGAAGGAGTGGGAGAAGGGATGGAGGAGGGCAGAGGAAGGAGCGGGAGGCTGGTTGAGGAAAGAGGAGGAGCAATGGAGGAGGAGCTGGGGGGGTGGAGAGGAGGGAGAGAGGAAGAGGAGGAGCACAAAAAGGAGGAGCAGTGGAGAAGTGGGGACTCAACGCCCACTCTGTCCACTGTGGATCCGGGAGCATCATTTCCCCCCGTCCCTCAAGTGAGCAAGTAGGGGGAGCTTGCCCCAGATCTCTTGGGGGATCCCCAAGCAGTGTTTTTCCTCAGGGGGCGTTTGGAGCTCTCAGCTTCCAGAATCAAGACCCTAATATCTTTGTGGGACCCTGGGAGGGTATCATTTTGGGAGACATGGAAGGCAGGATGTTTGCATCTTGCAGAACCCCAAAGCTGAGTTGCAAATGCCCCTTTTGGGGATATTTTGGGGTCTGCATATGGCAATCACCTGGTGCCAGGAGCTCCCCTGGGAGAGCAGTGGAAGGCAACATCAGGAGAACAGGGGTGGGGTGAGGTGACAGGGGTGATCCCAGAGCTGGGGGACCCCCAGCAGCCTGGAGAAGGGGGGAGCCTAGATAAGGGAGACCCCCTGGGATCCCTAGAACACTGGAGCAGAGTGAGGGGAGAAGGGACCCCTGAGACACCCAAAATCCCTTAGGATCATCCCTAAGTGGAACCCATCCCTTGGGCTCAACCCACTACAACTCCAGAGAGGGGGAATCTGAGGAGCTACAGGACCCCATTAGCCCAGGGAAGGGAGACCCCCTCCAGAACCCCAAAGTGGAGAGATCAGAGAGGGGGAACTCCAGGGAGGGACTTTTGTGCTGAATTGTGGTGGCTTGGGATTTTTATGGATATAAAATCATTGTAGACTTCCTGAGATAGAGTTGGGGAAGGAGGAACTCCCCAAGCCCAAGGTGCTCACTTTTTGTATTTCCCCCCAAACCAGGATTTTTCATTCCCAAGGCGTGGCCAGATGGAGGAAGAGGAAAAGCCCCAGAGATCGGACACGAAGGGGGCCTGCAAACCCAGCCCAGGGAAGGAGGAAAGACCCTCCCAATCCCACAAAGGTGGCCAGAGATCCAGCCAGAGCTCAGAGCTGGTGGAAAAGCCTCAGGGCGAGGAGAAGCCCCACAAGTGCTTGGAATGTGGGAAGGGCTTCAGCCGGACTTCCCATCTGAGGGAACACAAGAACATTCACGCGGGGGAACGGCCCTATGAGTGTGGGGAATGTGGGAAAGGCTTCAGCCAGAGCTCCCACCTGAGCCAGCACCAGAAGATCCACACTGGGGAGAAGCCCTATGAGTGTGGAGAGTGTGGGAAGGGCTTTGTACGGAGCTCCCAGTTGAGGGAACACCAGAGGATCCACACTGGAGAAAAGCCCTACCAGTGTGGGAAATGTGGGAAGAGCTTCAGCTGGAGCTCCAGCCTGATCCAGCACCAGGTTATCCATACTGGGAAACAAGCCTATGAGTGCTTGGAATGTGGAAAGAGCTTTGGGTGGAGCTCTGCCCTGAGAAACCACCAGCTCATCCACTCTGGGGAGAAGGCCTACGAGTGTCCAGAGTGTGGGAAGAGGTTCTCCAGGAGCTCTAACTTGACCCAACACCTACGGAGGCACCGGTAAGGGAAGCCCTGCGAGTGCCCCGAATGCAGGAAGCACTTTGTTCGCTGCTTTATCTGCATCCCCCATGGGAGGATAAGTGTTGGATGATCCCCAGTGACCCCTATTGGGAAGAGCCCTGGTGATCTCTGTTCTGGGTGATCGTGTTGAGTGGGAGGAAAGTGTTCAAGAGATTTCTTTCCCTTCTCCTTGTGCTGCTGTGTTTTGTTTGATAATAAATTCGCTCCCTGTGCCCAGGCTGGGTCTGTTGTGGCCATGCCAGTGCTCAGGGTAGGATCTCTCCTGGTCCTTCTCTTAATTCTCGGGCCTCTCGTCAGCCAATCAAGGGAATGCAGTGAACAAGATTCAGCCAATTAGAGACAGCAGATCTGATGACACACCAGCTGCCGTGCCGACCCGCAGCACCAGCGTTCACTTCCCAACCCCTGCCCGCCCAGTCACAGACCTCTGCTAGATAACCCGAAGTCCCTCCCCACTGTCCCACATAAACAGGATCGGGGCAAACTGGGAAACTTTATGTAGAACATTGGGAGCAGCCAGACAGGGACAGAATAACAGCAGGAATGGGAGGGACAGACGACGTCCCCCAAACTCATTGGGATGAAGCATGTGGTTGGTCCTGGCCAGGCTCGAGGTCACAGGGAGGAGCTGTAGCCGCTGCCAGCTGAGGAGCTTTGTGAGCAGAGAAAAAGGGGTGACACTGGGCTGAGGTCTCCATGGGGAGCACACACCCTCCAGGGGAGGGGGGGACGACCCCCAGGACCCCCCCTCACCTTCTTATGCAAGCAGAAGCCGAGCTTCTGAGCTGCTTCTGACACTTCTGAGCTTCTTCTGAAGTCCCACTACCAGAAAGATGAAGTCCCTGATCCACATTAACATCTTGTTGCCTTCTAGTTACTCCCACTACATCCCAATCCCCCTCTGGGCCCCCCCAGTGCCTCCCCCGCTGCCCCCGGCGCTGTGGGGGCCGGGCCGTGCCCCAGTGCCGGCTCAGGGGGTGCTCCAGGCTGCCGTGCTCCACCTGGCAGCTGGAGCTGAGCCCGCATTGCCGGGGGCGGTTTCCAGCAGCACCAGGAGCTGTTGGCTCCAGTCCCCGCTGGGGAGCACGGCAGTGGCCAGCATGTGGCCCGAGAGCTGCTGCTGGCCCTGGGAGCAGCTCAGCTGGATGTGGGCAGGGGAGAAATCCATCAGGGAGCAGAGCAGGCGGCCGGGGCCGGGCTGGGAGCTGGAGGGCACCAGGGAGATGGAAATGCTGGGGGCACTGGGAGAGAGGGGGACACACTGGGATCAGCTTGGGGGCAGTGGGAGAGATGGGAGAGGCCTGGTATGGCACTGGGAGGGGCTGGGAATGAAGCTGGAGAGAGTGGGGAACACTGGGAGAGAGTGAAGTGGGTTGGGGTAATGGGAGAGAGGGGGAGGTCTGGGATTGGACTTAAAAGAATTTGGGAGGGACTGGGAGAATTTGGGGGTGCACTGGGAGAGTGGGGAGAGATTTGGAGGAGCACTGGGGGAGAGGGTAGAGGTCTGTGAGTGGAGTTAGAAGGACTGGGAGTGGACTGAGAATAGAATGGCTGTGGACTGAGAGGAATTGGAAGGGACTCTCAGAGGGACTGGGAGGGCTGAGATGGAAACGTGGGGGAGCAGTGGGAGAGACTGGGATGGACTGGCAGAGCTACCAGAGTCAGTCGGGGTGAGAGGGCAGGAGGCCACAGGGATGGACACAAGGTGGGCTGAGGGCTCTGGGATGATTCCCAGGGAGGTCTTGAGTGGCTCCAGGGTCATTCCCAGAGCAGGGTCTGAGGGCACACACTGCCCCACACTCACCTCTGCACTCCACGAGGAACACGGTGGATAATTTGTAGTTGTGTCAGCAGTGCCTGTCCACTGCAGCCTGTCTGTGCTCCATACATTTCAGGTTGCTGTTGCAGTACCTGGCAACCTTCTTCCCAAAGGAGGTGTCCCCCACAAACAGCCCCACATCGCTGTTGAAATGCAGGAGCTGCTCCTGGGTGTAGATGTTCCTCTCCATGAACTTTGTATGGTCGGTGCACTTAATGAAGTGACACTCAGACTTATCCATCTCCTAAAACACACCTATAGACACAGGTCCGGGGATATTCCCCCAGCATTCCCCAGTAGTCAAGAGCTACTTGAGTTGGGGCAACCCCAACTCTGCACTCTCAGTGCCCCACAGCCGCCATGGGACCCTTCTTCCCACGGTTCCAGTTCCTCTTTTCCACTTCTTTCCGTATTTTCCTCCCTCTTTCCCATAACTTCCCGGTAGCCAGCCCACCACTCCCAGAACATTTGTTTGGGGGTCCCACCACCCATTTCCCTGTCCCACCCCATTTCCCTGTCTTTCCCCACACTTCCCACCGTGCCACCACTTCTCTTTCCACCCCTCCTTCTCACCCGAGAGCTTTACGCCCACAGCCAGGGGGGCTCCCAGTGCCACCAGTAGGGCCCCAGCTACCGCCACACGCCCCATGGCCAGTGCCGGACAGGTTCTGACACCTCCCCCCTCCCCAGATTCCCCTGGCGGGCGGCGCTGGGGGCAAGGGCAGGGCGGGTTGGAATCCAGCTGGGGAGCTCTGGGGGCTGTGGGACTGCCTGGCAACTGGGGAGTCATCAGTGTGCTGCGCGCTGATTGGCTCAATTATTTGAGTGCCTTCTCTGATTGGCTGAGGAAAAGGACCGGGAGAGATCCCGCCCCGAGCACCGGCAGGGGCACAACAGACCCAGCCTGGGCACAGGAGGGGAATTTATTACCAATCAAATCACAGCAGGACAAGGACAAGAAATCTCTCTAACACCTTCCCTAAACCCAATAGGGGTCACCTGGAACAGGAATCCCCAGGGCTCTGCCCAACAGGGATCCCTGGGGATCATCCAATGGATGATCCTTCCATGTGGATCCATCCAGTGGATCCTTCCATGGGAGATGGAGCTGGAGTAGCACACGAAGCTCTTCCCACACTTGGGGCACTCGCAGGGCTTCCCTTATGGGTGGTTCTGTTGGGTCAAGTGAGCTCTGGGTGAATCTCTTCCCACACTCAGGACACTCATAGGGCCTCTCCCCTTTGTGTGGATATATTGGCGGGTGATGAGCTTTGAGCTCTGGCCAAAGCTCTCCCACACTAGTAGGGCCATTTCCAAGTGTGGATCTTGTGGTCCTTGATGAGGTGGGAGCTTTTGTGGAAGCTCTGCCTGAATTGTAAGAACTTGTGGGGCTGTTCCCTGAGGTGGATCCTATGATGGTCAGCACATACCAGCACAGACTTCCATATAAAGCTCTTCCCATATTCCAAGCACCAACAGGGATGTTCCTCAGGTTGGATATCCTGATGCTGGATCAGGTGGGAGCTCTGGCTGGAGCTCATTCCACATTCCAACCACTTGTAGGGTGTCTCAGTTTGAGAGACAATTTAAAAGAGGACACTCTGGAGTGAGTGCTGTCTGCTCTACAGGGTTCCACTAATCTTTTTCTACCAATAGGAAATGAATATTAATAGATGAAAGTGTAAAAAGATGCCAGTAGTTTATTAACAAACAGAATGCTCACAAGGCAAGGAAATAAAAAGTAAATAACTGGTAGATACTAAATTGTCAGACCTTACCCTCCACACACACCCTGGGACAAAAGACCCAAAATGCCAGAGAAATCCTTGCTCACAACACAGGATACAGGATCAGCGCTGGCTTCTCCCTCAGGGGAAAAACCAGCCAGGGATTATCACGAAGGAGATGAAAGCCCGGGACTCACCTAGTGTTGAATTCCTCCCCAGTTGGGCTCTGAGGAGAGGTCCCAGCAGCGGGAAGCAGCGGGGCTGAAGCCTCAGGGTGTTTTCTCTCCTGGCTCGGCCCAGCTCGCAGTGGCTTTGGGCTGCAGTGGTGCCACTCCGCTCCTACTGGCGTGGAGCCCCCGGGCTCCCAAAAAGCAGCTGCTCAGTTCGCCTCCAGGCACTCCAGGGCTTGCTGCTGCAGCCTCTCTGAACCAAGGAAAGGGAAAGAATCCTTTCTTAGTCTGGGCCAAACAAGCTTTTCAGCCAAACAGAAAACCACGGTGCTCAGAGAGAGCTGCAGAAAACCCGAGCAGCGAGGCTTCAAAACATCTGCACAGCGAACAAGGATCCTCTCACTGCCCTGGCCCCCCACATATCCTGTCCCAGGCTCCCCAGAGAGAACCATTCTCTGGACACAAAGCTGAGGATCCTGGAATGTACCATCACAATAACTCACTCCAAGAGAACTGTATATACAATGATCACATGTATGTATCTATCTATAAAAGCATGGATACAGCAATATGCATGTAGGACAGGAGTGGAGAGGCTGAACAGACACCAGGGGAGATGTGGAATGTACAGACAGAGCAACCTCTCCAAGGGCTTTAACCTGATTCTCAGCTTTTCCATGTTTCAAAGGCTTTGACTGCTGCATTTGAAGTTACTGAGATCTCACTGTAAAAAGCAGAGCAGCCTAGAACCAAACACGGCTGTTGGAGTCAAAGTCTGGACTTGGCACATCTCAGGTTTGAAACTATTTTGAATAAAAATGTCCATTACCAACAATTTTCCCAGCCCATCCATCACCACAAATAACAAAAAACAATGGAATTCCTTTTAAAGGGGAAAAAAACCAAAACATAAAATGAACATTGAAATGTCCTCCTCATAAAAACTCACATTGAGAAAATACAGAATAATGAAGTGGGAAGGTTTTTCTAAACCTGCTGTCATTTCTCAGGTATTTGGCTCAGTGTCAGTTCAGAGCCAGGCTCTGTCTCCCAGGTGCCCAAGTCCCCGGGCCAGCTCTGAGCAGCCTCTCCCAGCTTTCCAGCGCAGCTTTGCCCCGGTTCTGCCCCGGGCAGGCACTCAGTGTTTCCCCACAGGTGGTGCCCTTGCCCTGCTCAGCTCCCTGTGCCCTGCAAAGGCATGGAGGCTGCACTCGGTGCCCCTGGGTGCCACTGACCGAGGCAGGGATGAGCCCTGAGGCACAGGCAGAGCCCTGAGGGACACCCCCTGTCCCTGGGCTCCTGCGGGACACGGAGCCACTGCTCACAAGGCCCTGGCACGACCGGCTGGCCAATTCCTCCTGCCCTGAACAGCTCGGGCTGCAACCCCAGGGCAAGGAGAAAAGGCACTCAGCTTAAAAGCTTAACAATACTGAGCAGCTCTTTAACTTCTACCTTAATTTATAACTTAACTTATACCTTAAGCCTAGCAATTCAACAGAGGAACATCACTGAGCATATACCTAATTTAATTTATAACTTAATCTTAACAATTCAACAGAGGAATAATACTTAACAGCATTTAACCTAATTTACAGAGTTATACTTAGCAACTTAACAGAAAAACAATACTTTGTGACAGTTTACTTAGCTTATAAGTTACATTTAACATCTTAGCAAGAGAACAACCCTTAGAAGCATTTAACTAAGTTCATAATTATAACTGACCCTTGCTTACAGGCTTAACTTAGCTATCCAAAGTACTTACACATCTAAGAAAGCAGTATTTCTCCCAGATCTGAGCGAAGGATGGGAGTGATGGTATCAGCCCAGGACACATTGTTTTTTGGCGATCTTGCAGGCATAGCAAACCCCAGGGTTTGCTGGCTCTGAGAGGTCCCCTCAGAGGGAGATTGCTGGTCACAGCCTGTGGTGGCCCAGGAGAACTCAAAGGGTCTCCTTCTGGACTGCTATTGATTGGGTCACAAGAGAGCCGGCTTCAGTCACAACGATGTTTCATCCTGGCCACAGTCTGGATCAGCACATTCTCTAAAAGTGTGAGGACAGGAATACTGTGCCATTCAGGCAAAAGGAATATTTTCCAAGTCTAGACAAAAGGAAAACAGAAGTCTTTCAGCAATTCCTGGGAACAGACTGTATTTCTGATAAGCTGTAAAAAGCTGAGTCCGGGTGCTGTTTCCAAGTGCCGGGCCTAACAAGCATTTCTCAGATCACACTGCAGTCTGGAAAGGAGGAGTGGGGAATGCACCACCACACTGGCATCTCGGGGGTGCCCATGGCCTGGGTGATGCTGGCCTGATGCCAGGAACCCTCCAAAGTCACTCTGTCTCAGCTGCACAGGGGAGAGAAAATTTAACTAAAACTTCTTTGGTTGGAATAAGATTGGAAGATACCCCCTGTCAAACACTGGCATGGGCACAACAGATCCAGCCTGGGCATACGAAGGGAATTTATTACCAACCAAATCACACCAGGGCAAGGAGAAGGGAAAGAAATTTCTCCAACACCTTCCCCACACCTAACAGTGATCATATGTAACAGGGGTCACCAGGGCTCTGCCCAACAGGGGTCACTGGGGAACATCCAGTGGGGATCCTTCCTTGGTGATGGAGTTGGAGCAGTGCACGAACCTCTTCCCACAATCAGGACAGTCCTAGGCTCTCCCTGGTGTGGATGTGTGTGGAAGAGGCACAGTTCTCCAACAGGCATCCTCTCTGGAGATCAATCCACTAAGATTAAACTGCCTAGTCAGTGTGACTAAGCTGTGGATTCCTTCCTGCCTCAGGATGCCATTATCTCCCTGTTAACTATTGGTCACCTTATCCTCTCCCAGACCATTGGTCCCCTTCCCAATCCTCCCCTTCCCTATAAAAACCCCAGCTTTTGCCCAGGTTGGGGGTTAGACCATCACTGGCCCCCTTCGCTGAAGCCTGCATTAAAGACTCTGAGGAATGTTATATGGTTTCCTGTCTCTTGTCTGCGTCAGCTGGAGAAACCCCAAAAGGAGCTGTCTGGGCTGAACAGAGCTGATCACAGAGCAGAAAATGCTGCTAAAAGAGCTGATCACTTAAGGCCCTTGCCAGTGCTCCAAGGGTTACCCCTGGCTGGAGATTGCCTGCAGAACCCTGGATGGCAGCTCTGTCCCCTGGGACAGCCTGACTATCTGGGCTTGTTGACAGAGGAAGCCAGCAGAAGCCAGGGGTCGGACAAGCCCCCAGAACCCAGCCTGCAACAGATGCTCTGATGGGTGATGATCTCAGAATTCCACCTGAGGGTCTTCCCACATTCCCCCACTCATAGGGCTATTCCCCAGTGTGGATGTTCTGATGTTCCCTCAGGTGGGAGCTGTAGCTGAAGCTCTTCCCACATTCTAAGCTCTTGTGGGGCTTTTTTCCTCCTCCACCCAGCTGTGGTTTTGGAATGACAAATGTTGGTTTGAGGAAAAACAAGGGGGCAGTTCCTTGGTCTGGGTGCTCTTCCTGCCTAAATCCATCTCTAGAACATAGCAGGTGTCTTGCATCCCTGAAAATCTCCAAAATATCAAGATTTGTCCCAAAGAACTCTTCAAGGTGTTCTCCATCTCTGATCTCTCCACTTTGGGGTTCCAGAGTTTTCCCTTTCCTAGAATGACTGGGGTCTCACGGCTCCAGGCATTCCCCTCTCTCTGGAGAGAACAGGCTTAGGAATGGTTAGAGATGATCTAGGCATTTTTGTGGGTCCATGTGGTCCCTTCTCCCCTGATGCTCTGCTTTGAGATCCCAGGGATCCCAGGAGTCTCTCCTCTCCAGGCTCCCACCTCTCCAAGCTGCCAGGGTCCCCCAGCTCCGGGATTGCCCCTCTCAGCTCTCCCCACTCTGGGGGTCCCAGGGGTTCCTCTCCTCTGCTCTCCCAGGGGTCCCCAGGACCAATGTCCTCCCCAGCCAATACTGGGCAATGGCCACGTGGACCCCAAAGATCCCCCAAGGGGCTCAGCTTTGGGCTTTGGGATCCTGCAAGACCCAAACCTACACACACAGAGGGAAAAAACCTCCCAGGGACGCCAGACAATATCTGGGGCTCAATTCCGCAATCTGCAAGTTCCAAACACACCCCAATAAAAAGACCCTCTCAGGGACCCCCCAACAGATTTGGGACCAGCTCCCCCCCCCTGCTCACCTGCAGGATGAGGTGGGGGCAATGGGCCCGTGGCTGGGGGTGCTGCGGACACAGGGGGCACTGGAACCTCCAGCTTCTCCTTCTATTCCTGTTCCTGCTCCTCCTTTTCCTTTCTCCCTCCTCCTGCTCCTCCTCCTTCCTAATCCCACCTCCTCCCCAGTTCTAGCCTTCTGTATATTTAGAGTGGAGAACCTTGCTTGTTTTTAGAACTAGAACAAAGATTCCAGATGGAACAAGCCTTGCTGGTTTTATTCAGCAGTATCAGTGACTACAGGTCGTGTTTGCTTTGTTTTGGTCCTGTCCTCGTTCCTCCTCAGTGCTCAGGCTGGGCTATGGGGTGTCCTTGTTTGCTGCATTTTCAGAGTTCCTCTTGGATCCTTTGGGCAATAGGCTGTGCCCTGGGAGGATTCTTTGTGCTCCTTTGTGACACAGGAGAAGCTTCCAGGCGGTTTTTGCGTGAGCGGCTGCTGTGGTGTCACAGGAGCGTTGCCACGTCCCCGTGGTGTTCCCGTTGCTGTGGGACACGGAGGCCTCAGTGTCCAGAGCGGCTCTGGACGCCTGCTCGTTCGTTGCCAGAGGATCCTCCTGCCCGAGGCATTCTCAGCAGCCAGCCCAGCCCCTGACGGGTGTCCTTCTGTGCTTGCAGGGGTACAGTCTGCAGGCGTGTGCAGCGCAGCCAAAATGATGCAGCAAGTGGTTGCTGCAGTTGGCACTCTGTTCTCTGTGGCTTATTCGGGGTATTTTTTAACCCACTTGGCACGTAAGTTGAGGTTTTCCCTCGGTGCAGCCTCTGTGGCTTTGGGCTTGCTGTGTGCTTTCTGTTCTTCCACTGGAACGGAGTTGACTCTGTGACCAAATTGCCATGAGGACAGGGTTGGTTTGGGAGAGCTCCTGCCAGAAGCTGCAGCTGAAAAAGGGGGTGTCTGCAGCCAGCGGGGCGTGCACAGCATTTGCAATGAGGCCTGGGGGGGTTCTGTTCCCTCAAGCGGGGAGTCTGTGGCAGCGGAGCCTGGAACTCCCTCCGTTTGCTGCTCCAGCCAAGAGCTGACACAGCCCAGTATTTTGTGCTGCTCTCTTGCTTGCTGTGTGAAGGGCCTGTGGCTCCTGGAGGGATGCTGTGAAAACAAAATGCTCTCTCAGGCTTGCCTTGCTCATTTCCCACCACAGGCAGTTTTTTCCTAACAACATCTGGTTCACGTTCCCTCTCCCGTTGCAGGGCACCTCACGCGTGGATCCCGAGCAGCTCCTCCTTCGGTGAGTGGCAAAGGAAGCTTTGGTGTTCAGTTGTGCAGCAAGTTGTGAGCNCCCCCCCCCCAATGCATCCCCTTCTTTGTTCTTAATTCTTTTGGAATTTTATGGTGTTTCCCCAGTATCTCTTTCATCTTTAAGTGAAATCCACCCCATTGTTTCTGTTATAAATGCATATCATATTATTGGCTTTTTGCAAATATTATAATGAATGTTACAAGATGAGAAAAATTTTGTTGTATTAATATGGTTTCCTTTATTTCTGTTATGGATTAAACTTAGAAATAGTGATATTATACATATATTTTAAGCTGTAACATGGTATTAAAGCACAAATTACTTTTTGTTTATATAACCCAGAGACTAAAAAAAAAAAAGAGACCCCCCTGCATCCTAAGATTATCTTGTCCATATTATAGATACATATTATATTGCTGGCTTTTCGCAAATATTGGAATGGATGTTATACATATAAGGTTAGAAAACTTCGTTGTATTAGTGTGGTTCCTTCTATTTCTGTTGTAGATGAAGCTTAGAAATATATACATATTAGAAACATATACATATACATATATGTTGAGCTATGGCATGGTATTGGAGTGGGGACTACTTTTGTTTGTATAACCCAGGGACTAGAGGAGATGGTTGGAGACCCCCCTATTCTTAGGTTATCTTGTCCAGATGAGGATAGCAGTAACCAGAGCTCTGGGGGAGGAATTTATTGCATTTCTGTTATCAGGGAATGTGAAACTCGGTGGAGCCAAGAAGATTGATTTATTAAGAAGGGGGAGAGTCAAAAACTAAACAACAAAACATCCAAAACTTAAGAAGAATGTTTGAATTATGTATGAGAATTTATGAATATGTATTAGGATTTTGTTTTTAAGGGACAATCCTTTGTTAGTAAGGTGTGTTCTCTTGGCTGAATGCAGTGACACCCAGCCGTATCTGTATACTTTACTTTATTTTTATCTCCTAATTGTCTTACTATTAAACCTTTAAATTCTATTAAAAAAATATGTGAACCTTGTTTTTCACATCCAGGTGAAGACAAGCAGTCCTTCATGCCCTCCAAAGGAAAAATTTATGGCACCCGTTACCGAAGGACATAAAACCTAGTGGCGCCAAGAAGATTGGTCTATTGGGAACGGGAGCAAGGAAAAACTAAACAGAGGAACACCAAAAATACTAAGAGGAATGTCTGAATATGTATGAGAATTTATGGATATGTAGTAGGATTCTGTTTTTAAGGGACAATCCTTTGTTAGTAGGTATGTTCTCTTGGCTGAATGCAGAGACACCCGGCCGTATCTGTCTACTTTATTTTTATCTCCTAATTGTCTTTTTATTAAACTTTTAAATTCTATTAAAAGATATGTAAATCTCGTTTTTCACATTTCTGTTATCTCTCAGTGATATTTTCATCTTATCAGCAGACCCACAGCTTGTTTGTAAAAACAAACCTGTCATTCCTCTCAGGAAGAGCCAACCAAACCAAAGTGAGCTGGGACCCCCCAGCAGCGCCTCTCTGCCGTCCCAACTGCAGACCTCGCTGGGAGCCTCCTAACTGGGAGGGACTTGAGTGAGCCTGGAGAGGCTGGAAGGAGATTGGGGATTGGAAAACGGAGGATGGAATGAGGTTAGTTGTGCTGGGTAGAGACTGGGAGGCGTCTTGTTGAGTCCTGGTGGGGCTGGTGAGGGACTGGGTAGGGGTTTGGGGGTTCTGGGGTGGTGGGGGCAACTGGGAGGGGGCTGTGGGGATCCTGAGGGGGACATGAGGGGCTTTGGTGGGTCCTGGGGAGACTTGGAAGGCATTTGGGGGAGGTTTCAGGGGTCCTCGGTGGGCTGGGAGAGACTTGGAGGGGCTTGGGGTGTTTGTGACAGGTTTTGGGGGCCCTGACCCCTGCAGACCCCCCAGCGATGCTGCCGGCCGCAGCAAGATGCTGACGGGGTCGGGAGCTCCGTGTTGGGCTTCATCCTACTGGCGCTGCGGCTCGGCTTCTACCTGTGCAAGAAGGTGAGGGGGGGCACCGGGGGTCGTGTCCCCCCTCCCCTGGAGCATGTGTGCCCAGCCCGGTGTCACCCCCTTTTCTCTGCCCACAGAGCTCCTGAGCGGCAGCGGCCGCAGCCCCTCCCCGTGGCCTCAGACCCAGCTGGGACCCCCCGCTCCGACCCCACACTGATTTTGGAGGAGTCGTGTGTCCCCCCTCAACCCCGCTGCCACTCTGCCCACGCCTGGCTGCTCCCAGTGTTCCCAGTAAAGCTTCCCAGTTGGCCTCAGTCCCGTTTATTGAGGAGCAGCGGGGAAGGATTTGGGGGATCCCGCAGAGGAACCTTGACTGGGGGGAGCAGAAGAGACCCCAAGATGGATCCAGAATGGGGACCCCCGTGTGTCCCCCCCGTGTCACCTTGCTCTGCGGGGCCACGGGAGGCACCTGAACCCCAGCACAGCGCCCAGCAAACCCCAAAAGGTGCCGGGACCCCCACAAAGCCACCAGAGAAATTTGGTGAGGGTGCGTGTGGGGAGTGCCCAGGCCGGGCCAAGAGCCCACAACTGCCCCAGTCTGACCTGCCCTGGTGCCTCCCATGGGATGGGACCGCGTTGGGAAAAGGAGGGCTGGGCTCCGGGCCCGGGGAGGTGGGGTGGAGGGAGGGGCGGAGCAGGAGAAGGGACAGAGGAGGAGAGCTGAGGAAGGAGTGGGACAAGGACAGAAGCGAAGACGGAGCCGGGATTAGAAAGGAGGAGGAGTGGGACCCATCCCAACACAATTACAGGGTCCTAGCCCCCTCTCCCAATTGTTGGGGATCCCAGCCCTCTCTTTTCCTCTACGCTTCCACCACTTCCCCACTGCCCCTCAATCCACGGGTCCTGTTCCCCATGCTTGGTTTTGGGATTTCCAGGCCCTTCAGTCTGGGGGTCCCATCACCTTTTCTTTCAACTCAGGCAGCTCCTGGCAGGTTTTCCTTGGGAGGAATGTCTGAGTTTTGGGATTTGTGGAGTGCAGTTCTGGAGGAGGACAGCTCTGTCTGGCCTTCCCCTCCTTGTTGTGGCCTCTCAGCTGCCCCCCACACCCTGGGGGTGCTGGGATTTCCTTCCTGGACACAAGGACGTTCATTCCCTTCCAGGAGCCCAATGCCCGGCTGGGGCTCCAGGCCAGGGGGTCCTTTAGCAGCTGCCCCAGAACCTCTGCCAGGGGCTCCCAGCGCAGCCGCAGCCGCAGCCGCTCGGCCTGGGCTCCCCAAAGCCCTCAGCAAGCCCCAAGTCCCTGCCAGGAACCCGCAACTCCCTCAAACACAGCATCCCCCACAGCCCCTGCTAGTTCCCCCCATGGCAGTGGCCATGGCCATGGCCCCACATGTCACTGGCCATGTCCCACCATGTCCTCACCCATGGCTGTGTCCCCACCATGTTTCCATCCTGGCATTGTCCCCCACATCTCCATTTGTGCCTGTGTCCCCCCATGTCTTCAGGAATGGCCACGTCCCTGTCCATGTCCATGTGTCCCCATGTCACTCTCCATGTCTCTGTCCCTCAATGTCCCCACCCATGTTTTAGTTCAGTGTCTTTATTTTTACCCAAATGTTGTATATTTTAAAGGGATGAAGAGTAAAGAAAAGCAAATAAAGGCCAAAGGAAAAGGATTTCTGTGTCTGTGCCGTCTGAGGATCCACATGATTGGGTGGGAGGGAAGAACCTTTTCCAGAGGGGTTTCCACCTCACTGTCTCCAAAATCTTGGTCTTTGACCCAGTTCATCAACATTTGACTGCAGAAGATGCCCTTGGACAACAGGAAATCAAAATCAAAATCAAAAATCACAGAGGTTGGAAAAGACCTCCAAAACTATCCAGTATTCCTTGATGCCACCAGAAGATAGGATTGAATGCAAAAGAAGTTTTGGGGTTGAAAGTTAATAAATCTGCTCTCCCCAAGGAATTCTTAATGTCCATTTGCACCCCAATATTCCTGCCCTGCTTTCATCCAGGTTCCTACAGGGAGCCAGGAAGATGTGGAGCCTCCCAGCCAGGTGTCTTCCCAACACCGATCACCAGGACCACGGATCACCAGGGCTCTGCCCAATGGGGGTCACTGGGGATCATCCAACGCCCATCCTCCCATGGGGGATGGAGCTGGAGCAGCACATAAAGCTCTTCCTGCACTTGGGGCACTCACAGGGCTTCTCTCCTTGCAGCTCCCTGGGCTGGGTTTGCAGCCCCTCCTCATGCAGCATATGTGGTGCTTTTCCTCCTCCTCCATCTGGCCATGGATCGGGAATGATAAAGCCTGGTTTGGGGGAAACCAAGGTGGGAGTGCCTTGGAGTAGCGGCTCCTCCTGCTCAAGTCCCTCTCTAGAACTCATCAGGAGCCTTGTGTCCACGAATCTAAAATATCAAGATTCAGCCCAAACAAACTCTCCCAGTTATCCATGTCTTGACTCTCCACTTTTGGGGTTCCAGAGGTTTCCCTTCCCTGGGATGATGGGGGTCCAATGGCTCTAGGGGTTCACCCTTTTCTGGGGTCCTCCTTAAGGATGATCAGTGGTTTTCGTGGGGTCCCTGGCATCCCTCCTCCCCTGATGCTCTACTTTGAGATCCCAAGGATCCCAGGGGGCCCTGCTCTCCAGGCTCCCACTTCTCCATGCTGCCCAGATCCCCCAGCTCCGGGATCGCTCCTCTCTGCTCTCCCCACTCTGGGGGTCCCAGGGATTCCTCTCCTCTGCTCTCCCGGGGATCCCCAGGACCAATGTCCTCCCCCAGCCAATATTGGGCAATGGCCACGTGGACCCCAAAGATCCCTCAAGGGGCTCAGCTTTGGGATCCTGCAAGATCCAAACCTACACACCCAGAGGAAAAAAACCTCCCAGGGATGCCAGATAATATTTGGGGCTCAATTCTGCAATCTGTGAGCTCCAAACTCTCAGGACCCCTTTCACAGATTTGAGACGAACTCCTCCCTGTTCACCTACAGGATGTGGTGGGAGTGATGGGCCCATTGCCAGGGGTGCTGCGGACATGGGGCACTGGAACCTCCAGCTGCTCATTCTATTCCTCCTCATGCTCCTCCTCCTTCTTAATCCCACCTCCTCCCCAGTTCCTGCCTTCTGTATATTTAGAGTGGAGCATCTTGCTTGTTTTTAGAACTTAGAACAAAGAATCCAGATGGAACAAGTCTTGCTGGCTTTACTCAGCAGCATCAGTGACTACATGTCGTGTTTACTTTGGTCCTGTCCTCGTTCCTCCTCAGTGCTCAGGCTGGCCTATGGGGTGTCCTTGTTTGCTGCATTTTCAGAGTTCTTGGATCCTTTGGGCAATAGGCTGTGCCCTGGGAGGATTCTTTGTGCTCCTTTGTGACACAGGAGAAGCTTCCAGGCGGTTTTTGCGTGAGCGGCTGCTGTGGTGTCACAGGAGCGTTGCCACGTCCCCGTGGTGTTCCCGTTGCTGTGGGACACGGAGGCCTCAGTGTCCAGAGCGGCTCTGGACGCCTGCTCGTTCGTTGCCAGAGGATCCTCCTGCCCGAGGCATTCTCAGCAGCCAGCCCAGCCCCTGACGGGTGTCCTTCTGTGCTTGCAGGGGTACAGTCTGCAGGCGTGTGCAGCACAGCCAAAATGATGCAGCAAGTGGTTGCTGCAGTTGGCACTCTGTTCTCTGTGGCTTATTCGGGGTATTTTTTAACCCACTTGGCACGTAAGTTGAGGTTTTCCCTCGGTGCAGCCTCTGTGGCTTTGGGCTTGCTGTGTGCTTTCTGTTCTTCCACTGGAACGGAGTTGACTCTGTAACCAAATTGCCCTGAGGACACGGTTGGTTTGGGAGAGCTCCTGCCAGCAGCTGCTATGGATGCTAAATCTGAACCAGAGTGCCTGTAGTTATTACAGGCCACATAGCTCTCAGGCCTGACTGAAGGCTAGCCTGAGAAATTCATGAGAAGGAATTAAAACAGTTCTCAGAGATACTAAACAGCCTTGCAGGTGTTGTTTTGCAGCTTCTTGTTTCTCCTTGCAGGAGAGAGTCGGGGGGGCAAAGTGCCCCTGACCAATGATAGTGATGTAGTACTTTGTTAACCAATAAGAGTTTCCTTTCTGTACTTTCCACGTATCTGTCTATAAGACAGAGCTGAAGCAATAAACTAGGAATTCTCCAGTCGTGACTCCCTTGAGAGTCCATTGTCGTTCTTTAAAGCCGTTCCCAATCGGAGCGACATCTGGTGACCGCCCGACGTGATGTGAACCGACCCCTGAGGTCCGGTAACCCAAGATAAACTGCAGCCGACCCCTGAGGTCAGAAAGCAACCGACGTGATCTGTTAATCCCCTGAGGGTAAGCAGCGAGCGGGGAAAAAGCCAGCCCTTCCCCCTAGAGGGGTAAGTGGAATTCTCCCGGGCTTTCCAAGAGGAAGCTGGTTCTGGAAACCAACGGGATAGTGGAGCCTGCCGGTGAGTGGGTTTAGAACGGCCGTCTTGGTGAAGCAGAGCTCAAAATCCCCGGGTCTGAGCCGTTAGCGTGTGCATAATTGCATTCGCAGAGCCGCCAAGATAAAGTCCTCATAATGAAGGACTGCACTTCAGCTGATGAACAGCTGGCCTACCTTGCATGGCAGGATGCCCTGCCCCGCATGGGACTCAGTGTTTCTGAAGATGCCATGCATGCTTTATTCCAGTGGGTTAAAGAGCAAGGTTTTAATATAACTATGGACAATGCCTTTAATCTCGAACTTTGGCTGTCGATAGAGCACCATTTACGATCAAAATTCATGAACGGAGATATCAGCGTGTGTAGCCTAGCAGCCACCTGGGGAGTGCTTTTTAAAGCGCTGAAACGGAGCCAGTCTGAGGACAGTAAAACCGGGATGAGAAACTTTGATGCCGGGAGTGCCTCCTTTGTACAAGATAAGGGACCGGGAGATGAAACCGTGGATGAGCTGCATAGTGCTCTTTTAGCTCTGCCCAGACCCTCGGAGGACTTTAGCGGCGAGCGAGAGCAACCCGCAGCCCAGAGATCTCCCTCTCCTGAGAGGTTTGAGCGGCCGCCATCCGCGGAGCTGGGCGCGCGGGCTTTGCCAACGGGAGAGCGGCAGGCGAGCAGAGACTGCCCGCCTCCGCCTGTGCCACCCGCAGAGCCTCCGCC